ATCTGAAGAGGTCCTGGCAGAGTTTGTTGAAGGATCATTTTGAAGAAGCAATGAGGACACCCTCATCAGCACCACCATTAATGGCGAATCCCTTCGTTAGAACTGCAGGACAATTAATGTTCACCTGGAGTCTGGTGGGGATAGAGTTGGAAACACTGACCTCGTATGACAGGCTGAAGTTGGGAAGCAAGAAGCTAGAGATGTATCAGGCACTGATGCAACACGTAGCCAGGGACAACTCAGGCTTGAGCCTGGCCAGAAGAAAGGATGCCACGTGTTTCTTGAGATGGATAATGTCGATGATGTCTGATAGCACCATCCTGGCATGCCAACAGAGAGCAAGCGCAAGCAAAACCATGGAAAAAAGAGTCTCAACGGTCATCTTGAACGTGTATCAGAGCACAGGAATAGAAAAGGAGGAGGGTTCCAGACTATCCCTAGAGAACCATAGGAAGCTAGACGAGGTACGGAGGTTTTATAATAAGAAGTTCGAAGAAGAACATGATGTTCACCGTAACCTGGCCTCGTCAGAGCAGTACTCGAGAATCAGCGAGAAGGGGGAATACCAATATGTGTCTGGAGTGATGGGAATGGCCTACAACCCCTTCTTAGACTCGGAAGCTGGAGGCGCCCACAGGAACCATGAGGTAGCGGAGCTACTGAAGTATTGGACAGAAAGAATAATGGAAATAGACGCGGTGGAAAAAGAGGGGCCGAGCCTGGGCCTGATTCTTGAGAAAACACCAGAGGTGGTGAGCATACCGCATTCAAACAAGAGAGTTGAAGTGAACATGGGCGATGGAAATGGCTTGTTAACCACGAACTTGGGAGTGGTATGGAAACTATTAAGACCCTCCTGGTGTCCACATCCCCACGCGAGTCTGATCGAAGAAACCACCGAGCGAGTGAGGTTAGCACCAACGGAAGATGAAGATCTGGCAAAGTTGAGTGTGCTGCACAAGCTAATTTCACCTCAGATGCAAGAGCCAGGCGAAAAGACTAGTAATCCCGGGTCAGCAAAGAAATTGGAGCCGGGTAGCTGTCTGGATTCGACGTGTGGAAACGGAGAGCACACCTGCGATGGACGGTCATGCGTTAGAATACTGTCATTTCAAAAAGAAGACCTGGTCACTTGGTTCGAAGACATAACAGAAAGGGAGAAAAGTGAAGTGCAAATAGTAGCGGAGTGTTACGCGAGAACCACGGTGAATATAGCGACAGCTCTCGGATTCTTCTCGAGAATGTGTAGTCTGCAGTCACTGGAAAGACTAGAATCTGAACATCATTTAGTGACGGCGTTGAGCGTAGAATCATGGCCCGGGGTGTTGCAGGTGACTCAAAAACACATCCGGAGCTGGAAGGTTGGTCTCGAGGCGGAAATGGGATTTCCCATGAGCGAAGCTTATGGCTTGCCATTGAACGCGAAATCGCTGATAGGGTCAATGATGGCCAACTTGTGCGGAAGTCACTACCCACTGCACATGGTGATGGTGGAAGCATCCAGCCAGAGAGTACTGGTGGACAAGGCCTTCTCAGTGCCCAAGTGCGTGAGGTTGGCTCGGATATCGCATCACTCGCACAAGTTGTTGAGAAAAATCAGAGGGACAGTACCAAAAGAATTGAGAGATGACTTGAGTGAAATCTGGGGAGAAGAACGAACTTTTGAAGTTGGAGAGAGAGAACACAAGCGATCACGAGAGACAAAACGTGATCGGAAAACCTGTGGGAAGTGCTCCAAACCTGGAAGATAACGACACGATGCATGAGAAAATGATGGAGCTTGAGCCTCTCTTGGAAGCCTCGGGGGAGCGTAACCTCAGGAGCATTGAAATCACCCATGGAGAATGCCCATGCCACTGTTTAGCGCAAACGGTGTGGTATCCAGATCACAAGAACCTTTGCCTGGTGTGGGATATGGAAAAAATCCGGTCGATCGGACTACCGGATCACCGACAGAAGGTGACGATCTTGGTAGTGAGTACGATCTTGGCTCTGAGATGGATAGAAGAGAATATAACGAAGTATCGGGAAGCGGGGACGCCAACGGCAGAGTCAATATACGCGATAGACTACAGCAGGAGACTCGAGTTGTTTGAGACTGCGTGCAAGGTATTCGCCATACCAACGGAAGTCAGACATGTCTGGAGCCGTTTGATGTACTTCCCATGGTTTCGGGCGACGCTGACGTCCTGGTTGTACATGACAACGAAAGATCACATGAGAAAACATCGAAAAGAGTATCGACAGTTCCAGGCCGAGATTGGGCCGGAAGTTTTCAAGAGACCCCTGTTAACCCATCGTAATGCAATCACGACAGGATGGAAGAGAGTGGGTAAAATGTCTAGAGACAATACCAAGGCGAGGGAATCGATACTAGAGGAGGACCTGGCGAAGAACGTGAGCTTGAGCCTGCACAACTCCTTTTGTTTGAACCGGGAATCTAGGGTGAAGGCACTACCCAACAAAGCAAAGAGGTTGCAAGAGCAAAAAGAATGGATGTGATCCTACGAACAGCTGAAGGCTTGGGAGGAGATTGTGATTAGCTCCGATGATGAAGAGGAACTGTTGAGACAGTTTGCCGTATCTAGTACTTCAGGATGCAGTACCTCCAAGGCGAAGAGTGCGAGATGAGCAGGTGGCTCGAATGGATCTTGAGTCTTGAGAGGGAAAGGGGGGCTTGAGCGTGGATCCGGGTGAAACTTGGATTCACGAAAAAGAAGTTTTAACAAAGCAAATATTGTTATTAATATACTATATTTATTATATAAATCAAAATGCTGCATGACAATTTCCTGATTGAATAGGACAAAAGAAATTTTAAATGATTGGCTTGGAAAGCAAGAATTCAAGGGTGCAGGTGTGTGCAGATTTTGATTGCTGTTTAGCGATAGTGTGAAAATTTTACATGGCTGTGAAATTTGGGGTGTAGATAAGCTTAAGTCTGCTGCAAACTTCTGTAAATGACCACTGGCACTGTATCTTGAGTAACACTCGGTTTTCTGGGACTCACTGGCAGAAGACAGCACGCGATGAGGAATCGATCTCGAGTCCGGGGAGTATGTGCCAGTCGGTCATATTCGGAAGTTTGACCTTGAGAGAAGAAAAAAACACTTGATTTTGGAGTGAAATTTAGTTTTTCAAAATTTCGAATGGAACCTGTCATGCACGATTTTCTCGCGATAACTGAAAATCAGAAAAAGAGAAGTGAGAACAATCGAGTAACAATCGCGGGAAAGTTGCTAAATAAAACGGTGGGAAATTGCTATTCGCAATTTCTGTCACAATAGAACAAGAGTAGAGCTGTCCCATCTAAAACAGAGACGAGAGCATTCCCACGAACTGGATTGTTGTGATAGGAGTACTATTATTAACTGGACCAGAGTGAACCTTCGGTGGAAAGGTGGACAGCTAGAGTGTCCCAATGGTTCACGAGAACTTACAGTCTAGAGAAAAAACTTGTTCTTATTATTAAAACTGACTAACATTAAGCTCATTTTAGTTACTTTATTAATTCTTGAGTTGCTTACCGACTTATTTACTTCCTGGTTCTTGAGCGTGCTACAATGTGAGTACTTAATTTAAATTCCTAGAGTGTGTTTTATAATTGTTATGTTGAGGTAAGGCGAGTTTTAGGTTGATCCATCTGAAATGGATCAAAGTTCCACTGTCTAATAAAAAGTAACTTAACGGATTGTTCCAACCCGGTTTTTAATGGCGTTCATGTATTTTGGGTATCTAGAGACCTAAGTATGGGGACGTTTCTAATTCTAGAGTGGGGGGATATTTTAGTAGTAGCCTTTAAGCTGTAACGGGTCGTAGTCTCATGTCACAAACGAACCGAACTGGCTCCGACCGTTCTTGAGGTAGAAAAACACAAGAGATGGTGTCCCTGACCCTTGAGCCAGTGGTTATAGGGCCTATTTTTCTTAAGCCTCATGTGTGACTGCAGTAGACGAATGTTACACAAATCAGAGTTCAAACAGGCTCTACATTCCAGATATGGATGGGAACTACTTAACACTCCACATACATGCCTACGTGGACAACTGATCACACTGACCCTCTATCTATACTGTCCCAAAGGTGGATACACTCACCTAAGACAATGATTTTATGAAATTAGCGATACCTTTGAGGCACTCCCGGACGAAGTATGCCATGATGTTGAAATAGCGCCAAAGCTTCAATCGTTGGAAGGCGAAAGCTTTCACCACAAAACAACCATTACTGAAGATGACGCTCGACTTAACATCAAGGCGAATGGACTCTGGAGAGGCCGATTCAGCCTAACTTTTTTCGAAGTAAAAATTTTAACCCCAATGCTAAATCCTGCCCTTAAAAAATATCTGACGCCCACAAATATCACGAGAGTGCTATAGCAATAAAATACCCGCAAAGAATTCTGTATTTGGAACACAGCAGCTTTGTTCCACTAATTTGTGCGTGTACCGGAGGAGCAGCACCAGGCTCTACGAAAACCGCCCTGGAATTAGCAGAGAAACTAATTAAAAACTGAACGAATCAAACTCGGGCACAATAAACTTAGACATAGACAACTCTGCTTAGGCCAGAAGTGTGGAATCGAATAAAAACACATCCAACAGACAATTCTATCTGTGCTATAATCGAGGAGGGTAGATTTTAATTGACAATTAACTGGATGCATTAAAATCGACTTGCTTCATTCATGAAATTTTGCCGATGTTTTTATATAGCGTTGGTACGGCCCTATCCAACCTGTGCACGTACCGTCGCATGAAGGAAGAGCCCATTTTAATTGACTTTTTTACATCCAAAAACTAATTGGTGAAGCTTGGCCCCAGACAGCGTCTTTTGGGGTCTGTCAATCAATCATTCATCACTTTTTTACGGTGGTCTCCTAAAAGACTCATCTTTCTTTTTATGCTAAAAGGTTGGTCTGATAAATGATCGATCCCCGTCGTCAAATAATTGACATCCCGATAAGTATTTTCTAATTTCTGATGAAACTTTTCAGATTATGAAATGGGACGCTCAAGATTTAATTACCATATACTTTTGTTTTGGCCCAATATAATTGGATACATTCGACTATTTTTGATAACTTGTATGATAATTTCAATTTCGGCTCATTTCATTTGTGCGTGTCTCTTCTACCTGTTGTCTACTGTGCTGGACTTCTTTGATGGAGCAGTAGCTCGAAGTTGGAATCAAACGTCACGATTCGGTGCGCAGATTGATGTTATAATTGATATCATGGGTAGGGGTTTTCTCTGGGTTTACTTATCACCTTACTTTTTCTTTATCCCTTGCATTGAGTGGATAGTCTTTTCAGCCACTTCCAAGAAAGGAAAGTTTTGGAAAGATCAGTTTTCTTCGGCTCCTAGCTGGGTTCAAAATGTCATGGCTAATAATTTTCGAACATTCCTTGGAATGATCACAATGACTGGAGTTGATTTTCTACCATTGTTCTTACTTACTCTTCAAACGGACAAGTTTGCTATGATCCCTTTAGTTTTACAGTTTCTATTGTTTTCCGGTCTTTTGATAGGTAGGCTTTTGTCAGCTGCAGTTGAAATTTACATTATTATCCAACATTTTGAAGAGCTTTTGGATGACAACTATGCAGATAACTGAATTGACCGACAGTCGTTCTTTTTAAGCGTTAAAGTTACTCTGAAATAACAATTGTAAATTTTTTATCCTGTTGTAAAAATTTGTTTGAAATGTATATTTATGTTTGTATGCTGCTTTTGCTTTCTGTTGATTTTGAGGCTGTCTGCAGTGTGAATTAACGAAGTGAGTTTTCAGTTATATAGTTATACAGTTTTGATTTTTTCCAGTCCATTTTTTTCTTTTGGTGGTTTGACTTCTGAATTTCTATAAATCATATTCACTTACTGAGTGTTTTCACACTCACAATTTAAAGTTCGACAGTAGTTGAATTTTTTCTCTTATAGTTTAGAAAGCTTGAATAGGAAAGAAGTGAATAATGTTTCAAATAAAACAAAATTATTGGTTACTAGCGTTAAATGTTTCTCGTTTTTTAAACGTTGAAAATGTTGTATAAAGCATTTTATATTCGTAAATCGTTGAAAACGTCATAAAATGCACGTTATTTTTGTTTGGCAGGTAGATAAGAAAATGCAATCAAACAGGAACTGTACCTTTTGTTCAGAATTTTTTCTTGCTGTGAAAAAGTCAAATTTTCGTACTACTGATAGAGTAAATTCAGGAGCTTGGCGTTCACCCGCGGGCTTAAAAAATGCCATACACACAAAATAACAGAAACAAATTTACAATGACGCCAGATACACAGAAAAACGTTACCAGATTTGCATAGAACAGAAAAAACACTCATGAGCAGTACCGGGACAGGAGGAGTGTGGAGTTCCCTTTTTGCAGGACAACTGACAGCTGTTACATGAGGTAGCAAGCAGCTTGCCCGGGGTCGGCACAGTCAGAGTGCGCTGCTGCCATCGAAGCAATGCGACGAATGGTTTTAGCGGCAATGGGCGACCACCCGCCAAGGGCCTCGACAGAGAGGGGCACAAACGAGATGCCAGCTTCTTCGAGGACGTGACCGGCAATATTTCCAGCACTTTGCAAAGTAGATGACTGCAGGGAACTAATGACGGTCATGTCCAGAGCGGCTGGACGACCTCGGGACCAACAGGGGAGATAAATGTCTCCCGGGCAAGAGCGAGAAGAAGTGAGATTGGCTTTTTCTAAAACAGGGGAGAGAGCTGCCTTAGCGGCGCTGTTGAAAAGGACATCGCGCAGTCTGTCATGGCGCGATATGCGGTCTCCGTCCGCTGCGCAAGCGAGCGCGTGATCGCCAAACGTATCTAGAGTCCTGGAACATTTCGGGCACGTAGACTCGCTGTTGAGTATGGGAACTCCGAGTCGATAGCAAACTGCAAACCGAAACTCGGCTGCAGGAAGGGTTAACCCTAGCGCCTTCAGAGGGACTGTCGAAAGCCAGTCACCACTGTTGGGGAGCGAACAGGAGAGCAGTCTGGCTCTGTCTCTGGGCGTAGAGGCGAATGACGTGAGCTCGGACCAAGACATGGAATCAAGTAGGCTTGAAAGTTTCATTTGTGCTTTGGGGGCCATTAAAGGAATGTGAATGTCAGCGTTGTCACTGAGAAACTCGAGGGAGGACGAACAATTCAACACGGTGGAGGGCACCGTGGTGTTGTGAAAGATCCGGTCAGAGAGATATTTGGTGTCAATGTAGCACCCGAGGAAGGCCACTGGGGCGATCGAAGAAGAAATTGGAAGCCCAAGGCCACCTTTAGCCCCAGGCAGGGAACACTGCAGGCGTTGAGACGGCGACAGGGCTGAACCAGTAATGGACTCGAGACATAAATTAACGGCTTTGTCAAACTGATCTAGACAGGTGCTAATGGAGAAGGGATCGCAAGTCCGCATGCTGAATGTGATTTTGGGAAGAGCTGCGCAGCTTCTCAGATGTAATTCCAACTAAGGATCTTCCAAGAGACGGATGGATTCCATAAGGTTTTTGCACTTTTCTACTCTTTTCAGGAACAGGGCTTGGATAAAGTCGTCATTAGTCGAAATGGCAGCGCCCAGGTTCTTCAAACCACTGCTTCAAATGAACGGTAATGGCATTAGGAAGAGCACTTAAATCCAGGTTGGGGTTGGGAGACCAAGCTTCACACTTCTCAACGCTGACCTCCAAGCCGACTTTAGCCATAGACGAAATCAAATGCGGAAAAACTTGAGCAAGAAGATTAACATCGCCGACAAGGGAACCATCGTCAAGGTACCAGACGTTACAGGCGAGATCAGGAAATTGGTTTTTAAGAGCTACAATGATGGAATGAATAGTAATGGCAAACAAGAGTGGAGCCAGTGGGTCACCTTGCTGGACACCACAAGCGGATAGCACAAAGGAATTACCGAATTTCAGCCAGGATGGTTGACTGTAGCAGTACTCGACCCACCGGAGAAGCTCTGGAAACTGGTTGGTAACCTGCAGAAGAATAGAGGACCGGTCGAGGGTGTTAAAGGCGTTTTCAGATCGACCTGGAGAAAAGCCAAAGAATTGGTATCACCCATGGAAGCAACGAGCCCGTTTAGCGCGTGAGAAACGGCTTCACAGCCACCAGGAACGCCCACTCCGACCTGAAGAGGAACGAGCTAAGAGGCGGTTTTCTGACTAGAAAGACGACAAAGGCATTTGGCAACAAGTCTGCGCAAGATCTCACCAACTGCTATGGGTCTTATGCCACCATCTTTTTTCTTCAGCGCAAGAAGACTGGCTCTGCATAAGTAGGGAGCAACGGAGGTAGGATCCTCACCACGAGCAAGAAGATTGACAACGTCGAGAACGGCAGAGATGGCCTCATCGCCGTAAGCGGGTGAAGCGCAAAGAAAAGCATTAGACAAGTGTGTGGCATAAAATTTGGAGACACCTGCAGCGGAGTCTTTCAGAAAACTCCTAACACAGTTGATCAATATGTCACGGGAAATGCTGCACGGGATAAGATCTGGAGGAGGCTCGGGAGACAGCACGGCAGTGACAGCAGGAGGATGTTTTTCTTGCAGGATCGATAAAGCCGCGTCATCAAAGCATAAACTCTCTGGGCAGAGCGCGGCAATGGCTTTACGGTAACTTCCTTCATGGTCAAGTTGCCTAGCGCGTTTAACATCGACTTCCCAGGATGGGGGGGGGGCTTAATGACAAGAGGCTTGACAGAAGAAGTGGCTTCAAACCATAACTGGGTAGCTTCGCCGTTAAGCCACCTGTTGAACCTGGACTGAACATTCTTTTCTTCGTATCGCAGATGCTTAGACTCGCCGCGGGAATTAGAACGCAAAACACACTGGCTGAGGATAAACAACTCAATCCAGTTGTCGGTAACCGAAGGATTGTTCTTCACTTTTGCGTAAGTCGAGGAGACTACTCTGGCCCACAGGTTGTGACAGCTGACAGGAACGTGCTTTCTAGTTGGGATCGAAAACTTCTCTATGTCTGCCAAGGAAGGAAGGGGCTGCTTGGTGGCAAGATTCCGGGGTCTGTGACCGGAGCCATCGCAGTTCGAACCCTGATGCTTGTGGGACTTGACCAACCCCGAAGCACTAACTCGTACCTGCACCAGACAGATGGGGCACCCCATGCGGGGTCAATAGCAGAAGGAGAAGCGCCGTTAAAATCAACAGAAGGTCTGGTGGATATGTTTTACAAACTCAAGTATCACAGCACAGAGACTATTTTTCCAGTAAATAACTTTGTTCACAGGACTTATCTCTAGTGGTACTTTTTTTCATAATGTTTGTAACTTTCTTAGCGTTTCCAGTCCACTTAGCCTGGAAGTTGCGAATGCGTATGGGATGGCAAAGTTTTTGGGTTCGAATCTGACCAAAACACTGTTTTTAAACGGAAATTATTCTGTTTCAAATCAAATTTGGCGGCCAATTAATTGTCTGCTTATTTTTTGTCGGCCTAGTTGTCACATCTTGGATTGTTTTTTTGCTGCGCTCGTTTTGTTTTATAATGTTGCTTTAAGTGTTTGATTTAATCCTGCTACTTGTAGTTGCACTTATTTTGACTTCGTATTTCTTTCTGTTTTTGTTTGTTTCGCTTAAAAATATTTCGACCTATTTTTTCTTGGTAAAGTAACCTTATTTTGGTTGTGGTTGTTTCAAGGGAAACACAAATTTTACACTTCACTATGCATTTTTTAATTTTTGTATGCTTACCCTCGGTGGATTTTTTTGTTTTGAAATTTTTTTTCATTTTTTGAAAATTTTTCAGTTTTTCTCAGAAAGTTCTTCTGATTTTTATAAAAGGGTGGTAAACTGAAAGACCGCCTACTCTTCTATGCCTGCATATTCTCCTAGTTTCTTTGTTTTTTTATTAGAGAAATGCTTTGTCCTTGGAAAAATTCAATCATCATCAAATTTTTCACTCACCTATTTTAGTAGAAAATCAACAAAGGTTTTGGGCAAAGTCCAATTATTAAATCGCATGTTTCTTACCGCATCAGTATAACAAATTTTTACAGTATCAAAAAGGTATCTGCTTTAACTGGCCCCTACTTGTTCTTAATTGATACATACGAAAATTTTGGGGCACCTAGTTTTTTTCAACATTTTGAATTTTTCTTGACTTATGTTTTTTTATGCTTGTGTTGTATCGCAAGTGGTGCGAAGCTCCGCTTCCTCTTTGTGTAGAAACTACTATGGCGATGCAATCGTTCGAGCTATTAGTTTTTTTCTTTGCGATCATTTTTGATTGGTATGCTAATTGGGTGCTTTTTCTGAATTGCAAAAATCAGAAAATTTCTTGTCCTCTTTTTTATTCATTGTCTTAAATTTTTTTGGAGTGCGATATAGGGTTTTATTTTTCATCATGGCGAACGCATGAGCATATCAAAACTCTGGTTTCAGTCACAACAAAAAGTCTCACAACGAAAAAAAAACTGGAGCAAACCTTCGTAATTCGCTATGGCATATGTAAGATATTCGTTCTATTGGTTTTCTGCTGTTTCAGATCACTGTGAATGTGTGACTTTTTTGTTCTATAATCTTTGAAGAAACAGAATTGTTCTTCCTGGATCTGAATGGTAATGATTTTCAATGGATGACTGTTATATGTGCAGTTTAAGTAATGTCTCATGTTCTGACGAGATTAGTATTGAACATCATTTGAAACTTGTGAGTTTGGGAAAAACTGGTTGATCACAAGTTACTTTCGTCCCAATACCTCGAGGAGCAAAGAAGATTACAGTTCAGGATTTTTATTCAGACAAGCAGAACG